GATAGCCCTCCTCTGGCAGTCGAATGTCACCTGTGAGAAACTCTGCTACGAGGTGTGGTTGCGCCTTCTAGAGCTAACACTGTGCCTCGAGGGTCGTCAGATGCCATTGGCACGCCTAGACGGCCTCCCCTGGAGTTTTCTGCAGACCATACCTGGGGAGGGGGACGGCAGCGGGAACCCTGTTGCGCCTGAGGCAATTCGCGCTGTTCTACAGGGTCCGGAGTGTTTGTGCCTCAATGACCGTTTAGCAAAGCGACTTGCCACTGGTTCACGCCATGTAAGTTCCCTTTCATGTATCGACCGGGTTCTTTCCAACAAAATTGTTTCAATCAATTGTCCCTATTCCATGGGAGAATATGTAGATTCACCGGCACTATGACACTGTTAGCATGTAGACAGCTCCAAGTATCAGAATCGGGGCAATTTTACAGGGATATGACTTGACAAAATCTGCTACTGTCCCAACAGGCATTTTGATTATCAGAGGACGAAAACCTGATGGTTACAAATTTTAATAATACCTTAGACATTGTTCGAAATCAAGACTTACTGACTATCGGCGGACTCGAAGGTGCATGGGAAATATCAACGAGCATTGTAGGCTGAAGATCCTAGTAAAAACCTTTCTCATTAGAAAGGGGGAGCATTGCACGGAACTGGAACACGGATGATCGGCATATTAATAACAAAAGCTTTCGTTCCTTCTAGCAAATTATATTTTCTTTATGTCGAATCAGTTTAAAAAATACTGCTTTAGTCACAGCGCAATTACGGTTCAAATGCAAGTATTATTAAGATCGGTGTGACTTGTTTTTCTTCTATTTGCTTTCGCAGAATATGGTGTTTACACCGTCTAGGTTAAGAAGCATGCACTGGTTATGTCCCAACTGGACTCGAAGAACCTGGGCCAACTCTGAACGTACTGTTGAGATGTATATTTTAGTCCCTCCGGCAGGGTAAGAGATAGGAGCGCTCCGTGACTTCGCGCTAAATTCCAGAGGAATTAGGTCTAGAGTTAAGAGTAGAGCTAAGCTTGGGTTTGAAATTAGTGTTTAGCTTACAACACGAGATTAGATCCCCCCCTACTGAAATTGAGCTCAATGCCACCTGTCACGTGTCATGTCGGAGGAGGGGATAGATGAGGGCATGTAAATGGTCCCCAGATAACGCATAATCGGAGGTTCTGCTCAAACTAAAGGCTGATTATCCGATCAGCGTGTAGTCACTTGGCATAAGAGACGAAATTCCTTAAAGTTTTCAGACTGCCGCGGCAGATCGGCCTCTGTCCACACAAGAAGGCCATTGAGCGGTTTCTTGATACCAATGAAACCACCGAACGCAGGAAAGTCATCTGCTGTGCTTCAATTTGTTCAGATATAAACCACAAACCACTGAAACCCATGTATAGTTTCCGAACCCTGGTAAAAGTCCAGACAACTGCCCGACACTTCCCTCCTTCAAATCATCCCCAAAATACCGGCTGCTCGTCAAACTGCCACGGCAAACCAAAGGCTTAAAACACAGTCAATTCTGCAAGAGTTTTCAATTGTACTTAGAGAATCAGCGGTGTACGTCAACACCTGATAATCCCAGATCGACTTAACCCCCGTCTGTTTGCTGTTTCTCAGAGGGAGAAGCGGCGGCCAAAAGGACGTTGCGAACACGGGACAAACATGAACAACCAAGAGGAAAATCCCCAAGAGGATGAGGATCGGCGTTCGTTGTACAAGAGGCGGTCAATCCAGCGGCATTCCTATGACAGTAAGTGGAATATGTCTGTTTTAACTCTGGCAATAATCACAACTCTTGAGACACAAAACTACTCATGCAGTATCTTATTCAAACCATACACCGTAAGTAGTAATGGACCCTTCCTCTAGTTTAGCAAGGCAGACGTGCACTTGATGCTCAATTGGAACAAAGGTTTTAGCGCATACTTTAGGAAAGACCTGTATACGTGTTGTTTAATTGCTGCAATAATTTTTCACAAAATTAAGTAAGCTGCTACTACTTTCCTGCAGTGGCATCGGTCAAAGTTGGGCCTCCTACTGCTTATGCCGAGCAGTCAATGGTTGGTGAATAACCCTGCCGGACGCTTAATGCAGTGATGTCTGTATAATGAGGAGGCGTTTCTATTCCCTTATTCCGCCATGGCGCGGGGGGGGAACAATTGTCCTTGTCGGGATTGGTATGGATAAATACAGAAATCTTGGAATACTAATTAGCCAGTGAAATCTAGAAAGGGATCGCTCCAACTCAATTTTTATGATCGGGATATACTGACGTACGCCATATCATTGTGACTGATTATTGCTGGGCTCAGTCTTTGAGGTATGAACTCGAAGACTGACTCGATGGTCAACTGACCTGTTGATTAGAAGTCCAACGCTCTAGTCCTTTTGAACTACGGACTCGTGGTCCTGCCGGTTTCGGTCGGGAATGTTAACATAAGTGCATGGACGCTCACAGATCGGTTACTGGACTTACTCGTCCCGTTACGCCTTATGCTACGGTTCACAAGCCGAAAATTACCCTCTTGTTGCCCTTATATTTTTTAAATTAAATCTTTTCGTAGGTGATGATCGCCTATATGCCCTCCCCCTCCCCCACCCCCGAAGGACACGGAAATAGGAACCGCCCGTAATGCAGGTTGCTTTGTGTTCAAGTCTAAGGAAGTTAGGCTTAGAATTAAGGCTAGCACCAAGGTTACGTTTTGGATTAGTGTGAGGATAAGCATCCGCGGATATTTATCTTTGGTAAATTCAGCCCAAGGTCAACTGTCTAATGTTAGAAATGCGTGTCCCGACGGAAAGCAAACTTTTCTGGCGTCGAAATGCAAACTACAATAGGACCACCTCCCTGGGTTGTGGATTGTCAACTCCGAGTTGCGAGGAAAAAGTCCGTTCTGCTTCCGCAAAGAGGACAGCTCAATGCACGCCCCTACCCCGCGGGGCTCGGCGTAGTGGTCTCTGTTACCTCTCTAAAGCGGTGGAAATCATGTGGGTCAC